TGATTTTAAAATTATATTATACGATTATATTATAAAATTATATTATAATATTCTTCCGAATTTAAAAATAAATTAATGTCCATAACTTTCAAAATTAAAAATAATTAAATAAATAAAACCAATTTTGCAAAAACATTGAAGAACATAAGAATATTATTCAATAAAATTTTAGGTTACTTTGAATTTTCGATTTCCTAGAAATGTACTTTTAAATCGTTACTTTTTTTGTTTAGTACTTGTACTTTTTACTCGTTACTTCTTAAAATAAGAGCTTTTTACTTTTTATTCGCTGCTTTTTTTAAAAATACTTGTACTTTTACTCGTTACTTTTTAAAAGTAACGTTGCCATATATGCTCAGGCCTTATGGAAAAACAAGCTATGCTCTTTCTAGTCATTTTCATTAGTTTTTAAACGTCATGAATTTCACATTATTAAAGTTTCAAGCGTCTTTTTATCTTTCTTGTCTATCCATAATTCTTTATTCAAACCAAATTTTTAAACTAAAATTTATTTTTAAGCAAAGAAGCTTGACTTGTACAGAGTAATTATGTTCAGTGTTTAGTTCACTTATCGCAACTTTTATACGTAAAATAAAATAGCGACAAGAATCACGAAAATGTAAATTTTTAGAAATCTTTTCCTTCGTACTGTGTACTTTTGTGTCTTCATTTCTTATAAGAACTCAAATACACATAAAGGATGGTGATTGCAGAACGCCCTACGAAACTTTTAATTAATTTATCAGTTTCGTTTCTATTTAAAAGCTTGTAAAAAAATTAGCATAAAAAAATATCTGTCCTATCTATTAAAAAAAAAAAAAACGTTTCCATACAATCTTTATACTCTAGAGACCCGAGCTTTAAATAATGGTAGAAATTTTTTTTTTTATTTAGAACTTTTACCTGAAATAAATTTCTATTCGGAAAAAAATAATTCATAAATGCTATAAAATATTTTTTGAAAATGAATAAATGATACTTAATTATTTTTGTAGTTATTTTTAATAATTACATAAAAAGGATACACTAAATTTTTTTAAATATTTTTTGCATATTGTAAGGATAACGCATATTTTTTCACATTTTGTTCAAGAAACTAAATCGACTCGAAAGAAAATTTTAAGGCATATAAATATAATTATAGTATATTTATATACCGTTAAACTTCCCAAAAAGTTATTAGAATTACTTACCTTTCTTACAATTTTTCATTGTATTTATAATCTCTAACAAAAGAAGATAAATCCAATTATATTTTTACATAGCTTTGTTAAGAGGCTTATCCTCGTAGTTTATCCTCGTATAGTTTATCCTCGGCATCTTGGATTTTAAATAAAATTTTTAATTTTAAAATTGTACTGAATGCTGTCCAATATATTGGACTCTGGATCTTAGGTTATCTTTATAATAATTTAATTAATAGAAAGAAACTCCTATTTTGAATCTCACAAAAATTTTGTAAGCTTCCGTCTAGAAAATAAAAATGGATGCTATAAATAAAATCGGAGAAGTAGAAAAAAAAACAAAGGTTCTCCTGTGTCTAAAAATATTCTTATTCTTTCAAAAATAAAACCAACATGGAAATCCTCTGGATACAATAGCATGATGCATGGAAAAGGGCTTTATGTCCCGCCCTGTTGGATGTCGTCCGGGCAGGGGCCCCCCTAAGAGCCCCGGCAGGGGGTCTCCGAAAAGCGAGCCTCGCCCGGCCGCGGAACCGGCAGACGATTTTGCGGAGGAGGCAGCCGATCGAACGTTCTGGTCAGCGGAAGGTGGGATTGTGTGAGGATTTAGTCGGGTTTTGCATCTTCGCTAGGTCCGTTGCCGGGGCTTGTTTTACTCCGAGTTTGGGTTCTTGAAGTAAGTAGATTCCCCATTCCTTCTCTTTTTTTTTCTTCTAACTTTTCAAGTTTAAAGAGTTTTTCTGTTTCTTTCCACCATTTATTCTGAAGTCCATTTTAAATTCTTGATCTCAAAATTGTGTAATAATTATTATTTCCTTTGATAACATGATTTCCTTTTTATTGCATTTTCATGCTCTCGTATAAGAAATCATAAGATTTTAAAAAAATTTAATTTTACGTCATTTCCTGATTTAAAGGGAATGCATATATATAAGTAAACTATAAAATTTTTATAACATATTTTTACAATTTTGACACTGATATAGTATTAATATAGTAGCAAACAACATATAAAGCACAAATCATGTGATAGAAAACTATTCTCTGAAAAAGCGACAGCAGATTTGGTACTACAATCAGAGCCATATTTAAACCCTTTTGCTTACGGCTGGTACGACATGTGAACCACATCTGGTGGTACAACATGGAACACCGGAAGCAAAGGGTTAAGGGTGGCAGAATGACAAGGATAATTGAAAAGGAACCAAGGACTGCTGAGAGCCCGATTCTTTATTCAAATTGGAATTTGACTCTTTATTTAAAAGTACAATGTTTTTAATTTAATGTTTTATATGTATAAAAAAAATTTCATTGATATTTTTATTATATACATTTGAAATCGTTATACAATTTTTTTCTCGAATATGCTCACCACATTTCAAACAAATGAAATTATTCGGCAATAAGTATTTAGTTTCCGGAAAAGATGTGCATTGATAAAAATATAATTAAATACTTTAGTGTCTTTATAAAATATATACTTTGAAAATCAAAAAGTAAATCACTGTTTTAAGAGATGCTTTTTCACACAGCTTACAAAATATGAAAATTACAAAATTTGTCTACAGAACATAAAACAGCGTGAATAAAGCACAAATAAATAATAGAAATGGACATACTATAATTTCAGTTCTCTAANAAACTAATCTGGAAGATTTTGCACGATGCAAAAAAAAAAAAAAAATTAAAGCATTTTTTGACGATATTCCAAACTCTTATAATTGTAATAATTTTTATTTCTGAAATTAAGTGGTTTTTAATTAACTATTTTAAAGTGGTTAATTTTAGCGTTTATATTGTAAACTACTATAATTATAATAGTTTTTATTTCACAGATAATAATTATTATAGTGTTATAGTATTATTATAGTGTTATAGTATTATTATAGCATTATAGTGATTCTAAGATTCTTTAAACACAAAGCAGACTGCTTTATTTTGGACAATGCAAAAAGTTTCATTTCGTATCTCTCTTCTAGACTAATATTTTGTTACAATTTTCTTTGTTTCCTTGCAAGCATTTGGTGGTGGTACTTATTCCTCTTGGCCCAGAACAAGGCTAGACCAAGTCCAGGAGACCGTTCACCGACGGAAAATCAAACACCATCTGCGGATCCTCCAAAATAAAATTTTTCTCCAGTCCCATACATGTCAGCAAATGATCAGGTGATGCCTGGTGAGCACTACATTTTAGGCATTCAGGGAACGTCTTTCGACCCTGAACAAATGTTAGTCCGCGGGTATGACCGGTGATTAGTTTGCAAGCATTTAAAAACATTAATTAAAACGAAATCCGATTCTATTTAAATTTTCTAATAAATAAATAAAAATAAATAAAAAAATAAAGTGAATAAAATAAAATTTACAGTAACTTAGTTTTCACATTACTTAGAATCTATCATATTTGGCGAATAAGCTAATACGAGCAATTGGTTTGTCAAGGTTCTTTCAAGACAATTAAATTTAAATTCTTAGACCAGTAATTTGAAAAGAATTATAAAAAAAAAAAAGAAAAAAGGAAACGTATTGAAAGTATACAGAAATACATAAGTAATACTAAAAATAGATTTCAGACATGGAGTTACACTTGATGAAATAAACTGCAGCAAAAACAAATACCGCCCGAACAGGGACTCGAACCCTGGACCGTTAGGTTAAAAGCCTAACGCTCTACCGACTGAGCTATCCGGGCTCAGCTACAACTGGTTTATCTTTTAAAAGTTGTGAAGTTTCAAAAAGTATACATCTCAGCAAAATTCCTACTTTTGCTGTGTCAATTTCCTCTCACTTTTTATTTTTTAATATTTGCTTCATTTAAGGCAGAATTTATTTAATAATTGCGATTCATAAATCTCGTTAAATGAAATCATGAATATTTTGTTAAAAGTATCACGAAATTATTTGTTATGAAAAGTAACGGAAGGAAGGGGAAACGAAAAGAAACATCATAAATTTTTTTAAGAACTCCAACATACCTATTAGGTTATAAAAGACAAATTTGAGGTATGAGATTTTTTTTTTACTGAAGTAATTAACAAAAATACAGCCCGAAATTGAATTCGAACCTTTAACTGTTACAATAAAAGGCCTAAAAATCTACTGACTGAGCTATCTCTGATTACCGTACTGACAATAAATCTTTTAAAAGTAATTTAATTTTTAAAATTATATATAATCTTTACAAAATTCCTTCTTTTATAAAATCACTTTTTCCTATTTTTTTTTTCACAACCTTTGCTTCTTTGATTGAAATACATTTACTTTTAAATTGTGATTCACTATTCTAACTAAATTATACAATGAGTTTTTATTTAAAATAATTAAAATTTTTTAAATATTTTAACAAAAACATGAGGAAAAAGGAAATAGCAGAATCCATGGGGGTTCGATTATTTACGATAAAGGCAGGGGCTAGTGGGACTGCACTTTCTCTAGTCATTTCATAGTGATCTACGACTATGTCATGCTCCGAGCAGGAAAAGTCCATGCACGGTTGGGCGATTGGGAAGTGCGTTGCGGAGGTCGGATGATTCAAACCACCATCGGTCTTGCGACAAAAGTGGTTCTAGTTCCTCAGACTATTGCCAATATTTTATTAGTGTAATTCCAGTACAATGGTAACAAACAAACCAAACACTTTAGTTATTAATCTATACAGTTTTGCTTGTTACAAATATAATTTCTTGGAAATTTTTATTTGTCAAAACTTAAAACTATTACCGTATGTTAAAAGTTCCCGAAAAATTCAATCTTAAAGGAATGCAATTTGCTTTACCAATTTAGTGATGTATAAGTGCAATTATTTGTAAAAATTACCTGACTTTTTTTTTATAATTAAAAGTAATTAATATTTTTTTTTAAAAAAGAAAAATTTTAAACTATTGTTTTTGAAGTATTATTCAAAAAGAAAAGTTATTGTTCAAAGTTTTACGCCATTGGTGTTACAATAAAAAAATTAAGCTCGTTTAGCATTTACAATCAAACTGTTGCCGGCCAAGGGTAGGCTCGAATCACCACCCTTTCGGTAAACAACGAAATGCATTAATCAATTTTGACACAGAAGCTCATTTAAAGATTTGAATCGATAGTAAGCAATATTTTTTAACTAGTATAGTTTATCATTTCCCTAGATTATGAATCAGTTTTATAAAATTCTTTGCTACAAGTATACATTTTGAATTACAGATTGATAAGCATCTTCTCTGTAAAAAGAAAAAGTATAAAAATGTTCGAAATCGTAGAGATCTACAATAAGTCGATTAGCATTTTATGCTGCTGTTGTTGTTTTTAATGCTACATGCCAATAGCAAGAAGTGAATTTAAAACCGAGTGTACGTTTCTAGTTTTTCAGTAGCGCCATCTATGGCCGAGAATACGACTTCAGCCTCACACACGTCCACCGCAAGTTTATAGGGTGGAACCATTCATTAATCCATAAATAGTAATTTTGGCTGAACCAGAGACCGATCAATCTCCAATTCAGAACTCCCAGAGGTATTGATTTCTTATAGGAGCATGGAGAATTTTGTGACCCGACAGATTTAACGTGCACCAGTCGCCATTAACTGCATGGAGCTGAGATCGAACTCACGACCTCTTGGATATGGGCCCAACACCCTACCAATAAGGTTAACTGGACCTGTACTTTCTGTGAAATTTTTTTAACCCTATGGGTGGACTCAAACCAGCAACATTGCACTTAACAACCGAACAAGCTAACCTTTTGCTCCACCGAGGCTCGAGCTCTATGAGCATTCTGATTTGATTTTATGAAATTTCTTATAGGTATAACTTTTTACGCCACATACATAACAACCTTTATTCTTTAAAAAAGAGAAAGAAGAAACCCATAAAAATAAAAGAAATCGTAGATAAATTAAAAGTCTAGTTCGCAGTTCTGCTGCTGTTGAAATACTTTTGCTCTCAAATGGACTTCAAATTAACAGACGAATACGCCGTATAAGCTTGTTTTTTTTTCTTCGATAGATTAAATTAAGATTCCACTCTGAAACAAAATTTTTCACATAATATACTTCAGAAGTAAAATAAAATAAAAACCATATTTTTCAGTTATAAGAAAGAAAAATTACATGTTGCCATCAACTGGGATAGAACTGGCGTTCTTTATGCTCTCACCCAATCAGCGATGTTTGTTAGTTTGTTTCCATTTAAGATTTCAATTTATATTTTGAGTTTGAAAATCTGGCGATTTCAGGTAAAAAATAATTGCGATTTAATTGTTCCATTTTTTGAGCTAAAACCTACAATAAATAAAGTTATATTTGATCTTCATGATCAACGAATATTTTCAACAAAATTGTAAATATATTATTTTTTAACCGTATGACGCAGAATTTTCAGTAAACACATTTTCATACTTTTTTAATTATTGTGTATTAATTTAGATCAATCTAAGCGAAATTATATTAATTTACGGATATTATTTTACGGAATTTTATTAAATTCTGGTCAACGAATTTTATTAATTTACGGTTATGAACTAGATATAGATAGGTGAATATGTCCCTTGGCAAGTAAGGACTAACCGTTCACTTCCAAACAATAATTTTCCTAATTTGTAATTATTTAGATTGAAGAGAAATAGTAATTCATCATTGAATCGCAATTGAATAGCAATTAATCATTTCTTTGATTTACAAAATCAATTATTGATAA